CAGATTACACACCCTTCCCCTCTTTAGAATAATTTTTTATGAAAACAAAATGAGTTAATTTTTGCGATATGAAATGTCCTCGTTCAGACATTCTTACGTTTACGGTTTATAAGGATCTCATAAAGAAAAACATAATGACCATCATTATATAGAATTAAAAAACAAAACAAGCAATATAAAAACTATTTTTATAACATAAATGAAAACAAAAAAATCAAAGCAAGTTCGAAAAATTTACTTAAGGAAATATGTATTGGAATAATGGATGAAAATGAATTTGTTCTATAAAGTTTATTTCAACGAATTAAAATGCTGTTGACTGTTTATTAGGTATTTTTTAAGCTTCATAATTTTTTTACAAAGTTTTAATAAGATTTCCGTCATTAAATAAATGTTTGTTTAGCATTACTGTCGATAAAATTGCGGATAATAATTTAAAAATTAAATACCTACATAATACAATTTTTGATATTCTTCACAAAGTCCGAACTTTTATTAAAGCAGATATTCGGTGCAAAATTAAGCAAAAAATAAGGGAAAAAACACTCCTCTGTGACTTTTAGGGATCAAAATTTTATCAGTGTCAAAGGATTAAAAACACATTTTAACATTCCACATTTAACATAACAGCATCCACATTTAACATTCTTTCACATATAACATAACAGCATCCACATTTAACATTCTTCAGGCCCAGAAGCGGCCGAGCGGTAGCGTCGCTTAATAATGACATTCTGGGTCTGGGGTTCGAATCCTGCCGAACAGGCTGGCTGCATGGACGTTCTTGAGGTTTTTTTTCATAAGTAAAATGTATATGAGCCAGCTTCCCTTGGAAAGTCCTCCACGAAGACATCTCTACCCTTAGGCAGATAGCCAAACTTTTCTTCAGTTGGAAAGTATTCCATCAAAATAGAGCCCACCAGCGGCCGAGCGGTAAAGACGATGAACACTGGTAGTTCAGTCCGAGGTTCGAATCCCGCGAACGGGGTGGCTGCATGGGCGTTTTCGTGGTTTTCCCCATATGCAACGTGTTTACGAGCCAGTTTCCCTTAGAAAGTCCTCCACGAAGGCATCCCTCCCTTTATGCAGATAGACCTCGTGTGCTTTGCCATAATTGAATAATCCAATCCATCAAAATAGACTCAGTTTGGGGGGAATTCACCCGGCTCATCATGATAGGTAACTCAAGTCAAACTATTCAAGAGGTTCTCGATTATGTAGAATTATCCAGAGCTGATCTAATGTTTTGGTCAGATTAGATTAAGCGGTAAAGCAGTTGATGTAGAGAAGATCATCTCAGGCTTAATCCATGAGAGGAGTAGTGGAGACCCTTCAACGTCCTTTGCCTTTGGGTGACTTGCTAGTAATAAGTAAACTGAAAGAAAAACCAGTAAAAGTTCCGAAAACGTTATTCATATAAATTATGAAAATTTTTTTGAGTAATCAAACTTACAATTAAAAAAGAGCTGACCCATCAACTTGAAGTTCTAATCTTTTAAATTTTTAAATATTGTTACGTGTAAAAAAAAATAAGATGAAATCTATATAATAAAAATGAAATAAGATTAATCGGTACTTTTCCATTTTGCCAGCGCAAGAGTTAAAGTCACCTAAAACGGTACAACCGATGCCACTTTTTCCTCCTGGTAACCTTTTGCGCCTCATTTTCAAAACAAGGCTCAGCCATTTCTTACCAGATTGATTGTTTGTTTCAATACTGACATACAATTACATAGAATTTTTACCAGAGAGTTCAATTTTATGCCCTAAGGCCATTCTCGGTAATTAAATCAATTACGATGCAATCACACCGCTCACCCGAAGGCTAAATATATAAAAAAGGCAAAGTCAAGGGTTAAATTCATCCATTCTAAGCTGTTCGTACGAAATGAAATAATTCTTGCATTTAAACTTGCATTCCAAATTAAGATTTAATTTGATGATCTAAATTCCTATGATGATGTGGAGGTAAAGGCGTAATTGCCTATGAACTCCGTAAATTGCACTTCCTTGATCCTTGATCCTTTGTCTATCATTGGAGAAACAGAAGCATCACTCATCTGAGAAGACGACCCTGTGTCATTCCGTCGTCTACATCGCTCGAGCCGGATACCATTGCAAACGCTGGCGTCTATGATGTGGTGTCAATAGCAGTCTTCTTAACGGACGCCACGAGGGCAGGCCACTAGCCAACGATCGACGGCAAATGTTTCTGGTCGATATGAGAACATCCACGGTGTATTGATGAATGCAGATCCAGGGTGCTGCAGAATGGAGGTAGAAGTGGCTAGCAGGTGAGCCTTCGCTTGTCGGCGAATGCATCGATTCACGCGTGCTGACGTCACCCTGGCTACATCGGCACTCCTAAAACTTGCCACATTTCCTTGTTTCAACCATCATCGCCACAGCCGGTGCCTGTGGAAGCGTCCAGATATGTGTCAGCTGAGATTTGCCGTATGGACCAACCTGCCCTTCTCAGTACGATCACCAAACCCCTCATAAAGTCTGCTGGAATTACCTCCGTTGACGACGGCATGGCATTCTCTGCTATTACAAGCGTCCTCTTAGACAAGAACATATTTTCTATTATGATTTCCCTAGCAGAAATAACGGCACGAAAACTGAACATTCTTGCAGATTTCTTTCCTTATATCTTCTTCAATCTGCGCTGGAAAGCTGCGCATTTCACATCATTCGCATAACTCGGTGAAATTAGTGTACCCTGAAATTTGCATAATTTTCGGGCACTCCTTCTTGGTGTTGCATTTTCAATGTCGGGTTGTGTATAATTCAAAAGCAATCAGCTTGTTGCCACACTTTTGTGCGCTTTCATTACAACTAAATTTTTCTCGATTGCTCAGAGCCCGTGACCCAGAGCTGGTAAAACAGTTTGTCATAATCTCAAATTATTTTTTATTTAATCTTTGAATAACGACTCAAGGCAAACCGACAAAGATGCCAAAAATCCCAAATTTTGAAACTACACTCATGTCCATAAATTAAGGATAATTCGGAGTCACGCGGAAATCGAACTCTAAAATGAATATATCACCTGTAAAATCACTACACACATCTTCAAGAATCATATGCAAATTTCAGGAAGTAACCAGATGACACCGATGGTACGTCACAATGACGAGAGTGTAAGAGACTGATATATAAGGAATGCAGGCAAAGAAGTAAAATTGTTCGCAGGCGCTTTATAAGCATTTCAGTGCAGTAACCGAATAGTTATTACACAAAGGACGCATTTGGATGATTTTTTACGTGGTAGAATTATCGGCCGTCTGGAATGTGGGCGTACCCAACTGGAAGTATCAGACGAACTTGGAATTGCCCAGAGTGTCATCTCCAGGCTTTGGGAACGATTCCAAGATGATGGTAATGTGAGTAGACGGTACAGCACAGGTCGCCCCAGAGTTACGACGCCGAATGAGGACCGGTATTTGGTAGTTACTGGCAAAACAAACAGGTGGAGCACAGCCTGAGACCTGCTCGTCATCAGCTCTCTTCAGCCACTGGTACGACAATTTCAAGGCAGACCGTGTACAGACGCTTAGGGCAGATTGGTCTATATGCTCGTAGACCTGTCAAATGCGTTCCACTTACTGCAACTCACTGTCGCCTGCGGTTAGCCTGGAGTAGAGAGCATGCATTGTGGACACCGCAACAGTGGGCTTGTGTGATGTTTTCCGACGAGTCCAGGTTTTAGCTTGCAGTCTGAACGACACCGTTACGGTGGTGCAGGAGTGCTCGTTTGGGGTGGAATTACTCTGGGTTCCAGAACTGAACCTGCATGTTCAAATTAGGAATCATGACAAGCCATATCTATCGGGACGTCATTCTGGAACCAACATGTACGTTTGTTTCGGGGTGCCATGGGCGCACAATTTGTGTTTATAGGATGACAACGCCCGTCCTCACCGTGCAAGCATCGTAAGCGAATGCCTTCAATCGGAGGATATCACCCGTATATACTGGCCAGCATTCTCACCGGACTTGAATCCAGTAGAGCACGCGTGGGACATGCTTGGCCGACGAGTTGCAGCCCGTCAACCTCCTCCTACATGTCTACCGGAACTTCGGAGAGCACTGCTTTTTCAGTGGTATAATATCCCCAAGATCAGATCGATAATTTGATACTCAGAATGCCTAGGCGTTGTACGGACTGTTTTGCATCGTCTGGGAGACATACAATGTATTAACAATCATACCAACCATGTAATATTGGTTTTTTGTAATTAAGTTTTTTTTTTTTTTTTTTTTTTTTTTTTGTAATTTGCTCCAGGGAGACAAAATTGCTAATTTTTTTAATAATATCAAACATATAGCATCTTTTTTTGCTCTTTACCTTTTGTTTAATAAATAAGCTTTACAAATAAGTCAAATTTGTTTTGCTTCTAACTCTTCCTTTGCCTGGTTTTGCATTATCCTTAATTTATGGACATGAGTGTCATAATCTTGGTCAAATTTTGTTGTATGAGAGTCAAAGTTTTTTTTGCTTTATGTTATGTATAAACTTTTACTAAACGTATCTAGAGAGCCTGAGAAAATATACCAAAAGATCACATTTCATAATTTTTAGAAAATGGACTTTTTAAAGTTTGAAATGCCAAAACATGAATTTTTGTATCATTTAAAACATTTTTGCGTTTGAAAGCATATGTCTATGACTAACAGCTGCGAAAATAAAGGCGGCACAATGACTTTATTGCGTATATTGTTTGATATTTCTTCTAACAATCATTCCTGGGTTGACTGTAAATCCACTCTCGAATCAGTTTCCGAAGATTTATGTAAGCATTTCGTTTTTTTATTATTTTTTTTAAGATAAAGCTTTTTAAGATAAAATATATTTATCTTCCAAAAATTAATTCATGTTGCATTCAAAAATTAAATAATTCATTAATTTTGTCTTCAAATTAATTCATTCGAGTGCATTTACTTTATATTGAAAAGTGAAATAATATTCTAAGAAGAAACATTTTAATTTCTTTCAGGCAAATCTAGCGCCAGGACCTAATGGCGATCGGAAGTCAAAAGGAAGAACAGGTTGGCCTCAACATGTTTGGGCTCTGGAACTGAAAAGTGATTCCTAAATAAGATTACCACTGAGATCAAGACCAAAATACAGATTCTATTTGCTTTCTTTTCCAACTTTAAATAATATATACGCAGTATCGTATGTATCATTCTTTATGCCGATGATGTCAAATGGAACAACGAAACCTTCACATATTCATACTGATCCATTTAAAAGCATGAGATTTTAAAAGGATGTGAGTTTTTTAAAAACATGTGATAAGTGTTACGTGTGTCGTATGGTTCAAACTTGTGCAACTCAGCAGTAGATAAACTCAGAACTCTTATTTCCGGTGAGAAGCTGCGAAAATGGGAATTTTGTAACATTCCTGATTGTTTCTGAAAGTTTGTTTATGATGAAACATTATTTACAGTTTTGGAGAAGAATGCTTTACAACTCTTTTTTGTAAGATTAATTAATTAATTAATGCTGTATGAGTAATGACTCACAGAAGAAAGCCAGTTATTCCTTTTTGGATTTTAGTGTTATCAATGCACGAATGCTACTTCCTGCTGAGCATTCTTAGAAATCTTCTAAAACGTTTTTGCGTCTGTGTATAAAAATGTACTTATAATTATTGCATTTTTTTTCATTTAATTTATCTCTACATGTATGTTTCGCAATAATCTGTCTCAGTTGATTCAAAAGAATATACTTCATTTTTAGACAAAATTAACACAATTGCAAGGTGTTTTCTTTGAAATTTACATGCAGTTGTATCTAATGCGCTTATAAATTTGATACTGTGATATTTAAGTCACATTGGTGAAGCTGAGGTATCATAATTATATTAAAGAAATGGTACTTACTTATTAGGGCAACCACCTTGAAGTAGTTTGGCGATTTTCTACAGTTGAAAAAAAAAAATAACTTATCATAGGAGGAAATTATTTATTTGGTGTATGCATACAATTACACATACATTTTATGTATTTACCTCGAAAATCAATTGATAAACCTACTTGCAAGCGAGTTTTTGTTTCTTTTATTGTGCTAGGAATTTTTATGAAAATCACTATACGTTTTCATACAAAGCACTGTTCTGTTTGGCGATTTCTCGGCAAAATATTATTTTTCTTCAGAAATTTTACAGGACATTCTTCCACTGTACGCAAATTCCACAAGCATGCATTTTAAAATATTTAGCTAAAAATATTACGATTTGCCTATAAAAATCGTTCTTGAAAGAAAACAAAAAGAGCACATACCAAAATTGTGACTTTTCTCAAATGGAAGAAATGTTATGCGGTTATCTGGAGAACTGCCGTGGAAACGGTAGCCAGAATTTGGCGTATTCTGAAAATTTGGCGACTTCTATAAGGTGATTGCGCTAGTACGTTGGTCCTATCAAAATTAGGTATCTCTTTTCTCTTACATTTATTATCACTTTCATTAAATACCTCCATTAATTTATCGTATTTTAATTCTTTCTTAGAAGTGTATACTATATTAACACGATGAATAAACTCCTACCTCTAGAACAGTTTCAAGCAACTTACCCCTTAAAATTTAGGTAGTCTTTTGTAAAATCCAAGCTTATATATTTTAATGCAGAGGTTCCTAACCAGGGGAATTCTACGGAGTCCGAGATAATATTAAATTTTTTTTGTTTACAATAAATTAAATAAATTTTAATTAAATAAATGTTTAAAAATTGCACGCAAAGACATTGGTGCGTGTTCAAATCGTATTTACTACCCATGCGGCAATAACAGATTTGCTACGTATATTGTTAACGTCAGTCACACTTTACAAACGTAATGTACATGAATATACAATTTTATTTTTTTATTCTATTTTATTTATCTCTTTTTTTTTAACTGTCTTAAGATGTGCGGTAACATATTAAAAATTTTTTAGGAGTGTGGGACATAAAAAAGGTTGGGAAACCTAGCTTCAATGTAATTCAGTAGCACGGATATTCGAAAACAAGAAATCTTGAAAAAGTGATGAGCTGTGGCAGAGACGATTTCGATCGTTATAATCATCGCCAAGAAAAATTAGCACTGAATAAAAGACAAAACATCCAGCAAATGAGCATGTGGGGAAATGCAATTAAAAATGAAGCCAGTCGGAGGAAAATAATACACCTTTGTACAGTGATAGAAAAAAGTCAATTAAATATGCAATCAAATAATATTAATTTTTATTCCCTGTACGTTTCCGGCCGCTAGCAGCCGAGTGGTAAAGTAGCTGAACACTCGTAGCTCGACCTGGTTCGATTCCTGGCGGATAGGCTGACTGCATGGAGTTTTGGTGGTTGATCCTTCTGCAAAAAAATTGATGAAGCTACAAGCATAAGAGGGTTGAGCGCACCGAACGATTAAGATTTCTTCGTTTTTTGAGAACACTGTTCTTCTCATCGAAAACACATCCGCCGCTGGAAGCTGCGTATAAAAGTAACAGAATAGTGTGATGATGATTTTTTGTGACTTACTGTAAATATATTTTTTTTTTTGTATTTATTTAGTATAGAAATAAAGGTTTTCATGCCTTTCATTTCGCAGTTCTGATTTGATAACTATTTTCTGCAAGATTACAGCACATTTAAGAAATTTTTTTGCAACCTTTGGATAAATAAACTGGAGTTAAACATGTAAACCCAACCTCCTTCTTTAACAACATCTGTTTTCTTTGATGTAATAGCATATTTTTAGTGGATTTACGCTTTACAGAATAGTGGCAGCTAAATATTGACCTACATGGCGTTTAATACCTGGGTTCCTTACCTCAAATCGAATCCAATTAAAAATTTCGAAATTTTTATATCAATTAACATATGAAACATATAATGTACAGAGAAAAAGAAAAATCAATTTACAGCCACGTATGTAAATTTCATGAACAGAAAGCCATCGAACTGGTGACTAAACAGTAATAAGACAAGTGCGCATCAAATGGTGCTGTAAATACATGATTTAGAGATAATTCAGAAAGTACACGATAATAACCCAGTACAATCTCTCTCTCTCTCTTTCTATATATATATATATTATATATATAGCTATATAAATTTTTTGAAAAATTTGTTTATTCAATACACGTTTCTAAAAAAGTATTAAGTTTATCACCTAAAAATTTAGTATGGTATAAAAAAATATACTGTTTGAGAGTACTAAGCAATTTTCGTTTTGGCTGAAAAAAGTTAAAAATATTTTTACTAAGAAACTTAGAAAATTCCCAAAATTTTAAGAACATTTCTGTTATGTTATTTTCAAAACTTTTCCATTCATCTATAATGGTAGGTACTTTTAATAGAACAAGTTAGTTGTACGATTTGGGAAAGTTGGAACACTCTACCATAAATATATTTTTAGGAAAGTGTACCGAAGCATTAAAAAAAAAAAACACATTTTGAGAGAAAGGAAAAAACTGTATGTATAACAAAAAGTCTTAAAAGGTACTATTATAACACCTTCCAGTACATTATAATCATTTTGTTTTAATATTTCTTCAATTCTTCTCTGTTTTTTCATTTTGTTTTTTACTCTGAATAATTTAGAGAGTTTTGGGGAAACTTAAGGATGCCTATGGAACTCAAACCTCATAAATTTTTTTGCAGTTATTATTTCATATTTAGGCCTGGTTCAATCCCAAATGCTTTAGAAATTTTGTGCGGCTATAAGCCCTATCATTAAAAAAAAACTACAGAATCTAAAAAACCTACTTTCAATGCAGTTTTCGAGACAAAAACAATTTTAAGCAAGAGTTCCCATAAACACGTTGTAAATTTTCCCATACACACCTTGAAAACAAGAAAAGAAATCAAATCTGTTCACACACTTGGTGAAAACACTGAAGGGGAAACATGTAGTTTGGCTACTGAAGAAAGAAGGGGCGTAAACCATAGGTTAAAATAAAAAAGATGAGTTTCTCATTTCAGTGAGCACGGATGCTGAAAAGCGTGAAAAACTTTATCCCTTACGCGAGGGGGGGGGGAACAAGGCACTGTTTGTTTAAATTTTTAAATACCGTATTTTAGCTGCTTATGTATTTCAAATCTATACGAATTATATACTTATGCAATCGTCTGAGTCTACTCTATTTTTTAAGACTTATAAGATATTTCTCCCGCCTTCTTAGCATGCCTTCGTAGTGAAGTAGTCTGCACGCTGGGAGCATATTCCAGAGATCCGTGGTTCGATTTCTGGAGAGGGCGTTGCTGATTTTTCATCTCTCCTGCTTTTATAAAAATACCTAATGTCTCTACACTGGCGCCTGAACTAAAGGGGTGGTGGATGATGATTATCCACACCCAGGATTTGGCTATTGAGTCCCCTAAAAACCTCAGTCGCCCTTAAAAGGGGGAATATATAAGGTATTTCTCCCGCCTTCTTAGCCTGCCTTGGGTGTAGTGGTCTGTACGCTGGGCGTGCACTCCAGAGGTCCGTGGTTCGATTCCTGGCGAGGGCGTTGCTCATTTTTCATCACTCCCGCTTCGAAATAACCTAATGTCTCGACAGACTATAATTGGAAATTTGAAAATTTGAAACATTTTATGTTCCATGCGTCCTTTTGGTCACCTAAATTATTCGCAACATTAGTAAAATTCGTTCTTAAACATTTTCTAAAGCAGCGTTTCTCAAACTTTTTCGAATGGAGATCACCTTAATGTGTTTCTACTAGTATACTTATATTTTAACACAATCAAAATACATTTAATTTTATCTTAGTATTAAGCAATTAAGTTAACAAAAGACAATTTATATTCGTTTTCAATAATTGAAAGCTATGAAAGTTCGGATAAGCTTTATTTAATTAAACAAAAAGTAAATAAATATTGGTACCCACATTAATGAGATGGAAGAGCATGCCGATTCCCCGAGCCTCTTTCCCAGCTGTTCTATGTTCGGATATCAACGCATACATCAAATTAAATTTCGCTACTTTGTTTTTATTTGATTTAGTGATGAAAACCCCTTATCACATAGATACGTAGAAGCAAACTGAATTCTAAGTTTTAAAGCACCATTGTACTTTTCGTTATATTCCGTTTTTACCTGCAGGGCCGATTTAAATAATTTTGAGAATCCCCCCCCCGCAAGCTGGAACATGTGAGTCCCTAATAGAGTACCATTTAAAGTTGTATTTTCCAATACCATACCTAGACTACTACATGAGTTATTACAAATTATATCACATACAGGCACGTATGTAGTAATATACTTTGCATACTAACAGTTTTAAAGCTACGTACTTCCTCATAGCTAAATAGAGGCCCACCAGCGGCCGAGCGGTAAAGTCGCTGAACACTGGTAGTTCGGTCCGAGGTTCGAATCCCGCGAACGGGCTGGCTGCATGGGTGTTTTCGTGGTTTTCCCCATGTGTAACGTGTGTACGAGCCAGTTTCCCTTAGAAAGTCCTCCACGAAGGCATCCCTCCCCTTAGGCAGATAGCCCTAGTGTGCTTTGCCGTAATTAAATACACCACACCACACCATAGCTAAATAGAATACAAGCATAATAAGTGTGTGTGTGTGTGTATTTAATTATGGCAAAGCACAGAGTGTGCTTTGCCGTAATTAAATACACCACACCACACCATAGCTAAATAGAATACAAGCATAATAAGTGTGTGTGTGTGTGTGTGTGTATTTAATTATGGCAAAGCACACTAGGGCTATCTGCCTAAGGGGAGGGATGCCTTCGTGGAGGACTTTCTAAGGGAAACTGGCTCGTACACACGTTACACATGGGGAAAACCACGAAAACACCCATGCAGCCAGCCCGTTCGCGGGATTCGAACCTCGGACCGAACTACCAGTGTTCAGCGACTTTACCGCTCGGCCGCTGGTGGGCACAAGCATAATAAGAAAAGCCTAATGCGATACTTTTTCCCCAAAAATTGCGCTCATGTCTGTTTGAAATGAAAAACTGCTTCGTTAAACTTCTGCATTCGGTATGAGTAAATTGAACAGCACACCCTAAACACATAACCAATTCACTCGCTTTTTAATAACTTTTTTAAAATCTTTTTATCTAAACTCTTTAATAACTCGTAGCGTTTCATTCTTAAATTTTGGATAATGCCTTCCTTTTGAGTTAAATTACGTATTTCCATGAATAAGAATATTGTACCAGATCAATTGCGCATAACTAGGCAGAATTCCTCAATGTCTCATTTATACACATAAAATAAAGTAAGCAATCTTTGGCCGCCCCTTTTCATTTTGTTTTCTATCTTTTTTCTTTAAGCGTGAACAATTTTTGCTAGATTCGGTTTGTGAGGTTTTTATAGCTGTAGTCGTTTGTTTTATTTCCCGTATTGTATGTTGTTTAGTTTTAGTCTCACTGCCATCTTACGTTTTCTTATAGCATTTACTTAATTTCCTTTCCTGTCCTGATGTTTCCTTCTACGAATCTTCAACAGAATTTTCTCTTTATGTTTTAACTCCTACACGGATCGAGTCTACATTCAACAAGACATTCTACAGTCAAAAACTATGTTAACAAGTTCATAAATATGTTTATATGTTCACACAAATAAACGTATAGAATCTGTGCCGTCCGGAATCCGTTTTATATACTGTGAAAATATTCTAGATAAAAACAACTGTCCGTAGACTTTAATACATCGTAAACTCTGACTGTCGAAAGACTTCTAAATCCTCTCTTTGTGTTGAATCTAACCTGATAACACTGGATATATTAGAAAGCATAGTGTGATTATAATTTTACAGTTTCTAGGAGTAGTATTTTAGAAGTTAAGCAATAAAATGCGAATATTGTCGAGAAAAAACAACTGAACAGAAAAAGAAGCTTGTAAGGTATTTCTCCCATTTTCCTAGCGTGCCTTCGCGGTGTAGTGGTTCTGCACGCTGGGCCGGTATTCCAGAAGTCCGTAGTTCGATTCCCGGAGAAGGCGGTTGCTAATTTTTCCTCTCGTCTGCTTCCCCCCCCAAAAAAATCCTAATCTTTCTGCAGTGGCGCCCGAACTAAAAGGGTGTCGGATGAGGTTTCTCCATACCCAGGATTTGGCGACTAGGTGCTCTAAAACCCTAGTCGCCATTTAAAAAGGGGGAGTATATAAGGTTATTCTCCTGCTTTCCTAGTGTTCCTTCGTTGTGTAGTGGTTCTGCACGCTGGGCCAGTATTCCAGAGGTCCCTGGTTCGATTCCCAGCGAAGGCGGTTGCTAATTTTTCATAGCCAAAAAAAATCCTAATGTCTCTATAAGCTTTAAGGACAGAATTTAACTTCTAAATTTCTAATTGGAAGATAAACATGAAAATGTGAAATTTAAAGTTAACGCAGAAAATAACCTAAGCTTAGCATAGATTTAGTATAAATTTTTATCGATTTCGAGGGAGATCAGACTCAGGTTCTTTTTCTTCAGGAGCAAAAAAATTCTGCAGAATGGTTTTCTCTGCTCCTTCATATATATATATATATATATTATGATGTATATCAAGCAAGGTAGTAATTA